TATTTAGTTTTGTGAAACCTGGGGTTTTTTATTGGTTTGGATGGTTGGTTGGTTGGTTAGTTGGTTGGTTTGGGTTCTCCCATCCCCTGCATTATTTTATAGTGGTAAAATACAGAGATAAAAAGTTACTGTCTCAACTGGCCCTTTTCAATTTCAGATTTCAGAGATTTTTGATTTTGGAATATTTACATAAACTTTTCTAATTGAGTACCCCAGTTTGCTTTGAGTTTGACAGATTCAGAGTATTTCAGATTTCAGATTTTTGGATGAATGGTGTTCAACCTGTAGGGCTAATATGTTCTCTTGTCATTTGAATCGTTTAGTGTCATTTGGTTTCCTTAGGCTTTGTTCCCAGGGGTTAAACAACAAGACAAAATTCTTGCTTATGTGACATTTTTCTTAAAAGGATAAAAGTCTTAAACTCCCTTTTAGTAATCAGACAAAACTGGTAGAAATGTGCAGTTTCAGATTGAGGATTATATAAAGATTAAGGATGAGATCAGTATGGGGTGGGTGTGTGTGTGCGCGCACGTGTGTGTGTATGTGTGTGTGTGTACACATGCCAGTGCAAGCATTTTTTAAGAAAAATGGGAGGTACATAGAAACTGTGTAAGTTCAAAGTTTACCATTTATAATTCTTCCTTTGTAGGTATTTCAGCCTTCACCAGCAGATCATGAAAAATATGGTGGGGATCCACAGCACCCTCATAAACTACACATCGTTACCAGAATAAAAAGTACAAAAAGACGTCCATACTGGGAAAAAGATACAATAAAGATGCTTGGATTAGAAAAAGTATGCAACTATTTTAGTTATCCTCAGTGTTGTTTAAATTTGCTTTACATTTCACACTTTTTAAAATTGTCTCTTGTTTTAATGTATTACTTAATGTAACTTTTTTGTAATTTTGATCTAAACAGACTGAACCTTCAGTTTAACATTTTCTAAAAACAGAGCTATTTGCTTTTTCAGTTGATTCATAACATTATTCCTTTGTTTGTAGGCACATACCCCTCAAGTTCACAAGAATATCCCTTCTGTGAATGCAAAACTGAAAGTGGTTAAACATTTGATAAGGTTTGTTGTTCATTATCTCAGCAGTTTTAAAAAATATGTTATCTAGTGTGATTCTAAATGCCTTTTCTTCTGTCACAGAATCCAGCCCCTGAAGCTGCCACAAGGACTTCCAACAGAAGAGAATATGTCTTCCACATGCCTCAAGAGCACTGGGGAGTTAGTAGTGCAGTGGCATCTAAAGCCTGTGGAGTAGAAAGCAGTTAAGTCCTGACACCATTGCAGCATCAGATTAAAAAGTGCAAATTATTTTTATTTAAAGTTGGTGAGAAAATATTTTCATTAAAATCTTTAAAATGTATTTGAAATCCCAGTCTTCTCACTGACTGCTGATTCTTCCCTACCATATAGATTTATAAGTTTGGTTATTTAATGTTCTCCCTTTTCCCATAAGAATTTCACTCTAAAGTAGGTAAGATCAGCATTGTTGAATATCTAAATTTAGATCCTCTGACATCATACCAATTAACTTATTTTTGTGTAGAAATTATTTTCTAATTTAACGATTCCTCAAATTCTTTGAGTGACTCTATTTAGTCCACTTTATATTGCTATAACAAAATCTCTGACCTCAGTTTATAAGGAAGAGAGTTTTATTTTGGTTTCAAACACTGAAAAGTCCAAGCTTGGGCAGCCACACCTGTGAGGGCCTCCTACGGTGTCATAACAAGGCAGATGATATCGTATGATCTGAGCACATGAGAGAGTGGTAAGTGGTGGAGGAGCTTGCTGAAGAAGCCAAAATGACGTTAATGCTTTTGTGTAAGACAGATATTAATCCCTTCTGAGAAGTGACCCCATGACCCAGGCCCCTCCACTGAAGATCCCACCACCTCGTAAAGATCCTTTCACTTCTCAGTACCAGTACATTGGAGGCTAAGCTTTCAGCACATGAACATTTGGGGAACCAACCATATCTAAACCATGACAAGCTCTTTGACTACTGTGCTATGTATTGGGGAAATACAAAGGCATGAAACATGGGGTGTTTCTGGATCCAGTAATCCAGTGCCTCAGAGTCCATAAATTCAAGTATGGACATAGATTCATGTTGTTCCTAATTTAATGCCAAAAAAAAATTTTTTTATTTTTTAATTATAAACCTGATGTGAGGCTAAGGCAGAAGGATCAAAAGTTCCAAGTTCAGTCTGAGTGAAACTTAGACCCTGTCTCAAAATAAAATCCAAAAAAGGGCTAAAAGTGTAGCTCCGTGGTAGAGCACTTGCAAAGTATGTGTGAGGCCCTGATCCCCAGCACTTTAAAACCATTTTTGAAAAATTAAATTTGGCTAAACTTTATTATTGCACTTGCATGGACAAAACATATTCAGCTGTATGTAGCTATTTTCCTAACGGAACAGAGTATGAAGTAAAAACATTTAGAATTAATAAAAAATAGACTTCTATTTTCAGTTTCAAAATGGATGTTCTTTGAATTTTTAAGAAACCTCTGTCTACAGTTGGGGTTGCTAGTTAAAAGAAGAAAAAAGAGGAAGAAATCTTTTAGGGAGAATTACTTTATTTCCTTCTATTTCTGACACCTGGAGGGGTGAAGAGAAGTAAATTGTAGGGGAGGGTCAATACGGGGGAAGCCTTGGGCAGCTCAGCAGCTCATTGAAGATAAGGAGCCTCTGTTCTAGTCACCCTTTATTCTCCTTTGTCTCTTGAACATCTGGCTCAAATAATGCCAATGTGGGCATACTGTTGTCCTCTAATGTAGAAGAAGAAATCTAAATGCTAAGTTGAATATTTAGAAATGTTGTTGTTTTGAAGAAAAAAATCTTTAGAGGAAAAATCTTTAGGGCTAGTGCATTCTTTTTCTTTTTTTATTTGTTCTTTTTAGATATACATGATAGTAGAGTGTATTTTGACAGATATATATATAGATATAGATATAGATATATAGATATAGATACAGATGTATATATATATATATATATATATATAGAGAGAGAGAGAGAGAGAGAGAGAGAGAGAATAACTTTCCATTCTAGTAGTTGTACATGATGAGGAGTTTCACAGGCCATGTATCCATATACGACATAGGAAAGTTATGTTTGATTCATACTACTGTCTTTCTTATTCACATCCCTCCTCCCTTCCCTTCATTCCCCTTTCTCTACTCCACTGAAATTCTATTCTGCCCTCCCCTCTTATTGTGTGTTAACATCTGCATATCAGAAAACATTGGCTTATTTCACTTAGCACGATAGTCTCCAGATACATTCATTTACCAGCAAAAGTCATGAAGTCATTCTTCATGGCTGAGTAACATTCCATTGTGTATAGATACCACATTTTCTTTATCCATTCATCTGTTGAAGGGTACCTAGGTTGGTTCCATTATTTAGCTATTGTGAATTGAGCTGCTATAAACATTGATGTGGCTGCATCACTGTAATATGCTGATTTTAAGTCCTTTGGGTAAATACTGAGTGAGATAACTGGGTCAAATGGTGGTTCCATTCCAGGTTTTCTAAGGAACCTCCATGCTGCTTTCCAGAGTGGTTTTACCCATTAGTGCATTTTGTTTTCTGCTGCTGCATAATAAATTATCAAAAACTGCTGCTTGAAACAGCACACACTTGTTAACTTGAAATGTCTGTGGGTCTAAAGTGAGGACAGTTTGGCTGGGTCATCTGTTCAGGATCTCACAGGCTGCAGAAAAATCTTTTTGCCAAGGTTTGGTATCTTCAGAGCTTGACTTTAGAGGATCTGTTCCAAGCTCCAGGGTTGTACAGTTCAATCCTTATAGCTGTAGGATTGATGTCAAGCTGTTCCTTCAAAAACAGCACCAGAGAGAGACTCACAAGAAGGGCACTATGAGGTCATAATTTACATACAGTCCCAAGGACCCATCACCTTTGTTGCATTCCATTAGCTGGGAGCAAATCACAGGTCCTGTCCTAGCTGGAGGAAGAAGGGAATTCCACAAGTATGGGGGGCAGGGATCATGGAGGCCTCCTTACACCATAATTGCAATTCCCTTTTCAATCTAAAATTTGGATATATTTTATTATCAGTTAGTTTAAAATATTTTCTACTTAGATCTTCAGGTTATTTAGAAGTATGTTAATCTTCAAAATTGTGTGTCTTTCAGGCCAAAAACCTGTTCCCTTCATCTTTTCTCACTACAATGCTAAATAATATGCGTATTCTAAGTGGCACAGTTTCCCAAGGACAATGTAAAATTGCACAGGCCACATGTGTGAGGTCATTTTCCATCCCTGGTGAAGGAGGAGGAAGAAGAAACAGCAGCTTTTGACATGAACAAGATTGTTTCTGAAACCCCTGTGATGTTATTTGCCTTGTTTTTCTAGAAATGAGATAATTTGCTTAACATAGGTAGGAAGTATCCCTTCTTTCTCATATTCAAGGATTAGTTAAGTATTGGCGTTTGTTCCATAGCTTAGTTTCAGCTTGGTTGTTTTTGTCAGTTTTTTCAGAGTTGTTTTCAGAACCCCAAACACTGGCCTTCCCTTCTCAAGGGGCCCTACAAGGTCTGCTTCTCAACCTCCCTGCCAGAGTGCTTTATGCTCGCCCCCCCACACACACTTTTTTCTGCATCTTTAGAAACAAAAGATGGAAATAGCATAGTAACTCAACTGCCCTATTTTTACTTATATAGAGTATTACATCAAACTGCTGCAGAATGCACATTTATTTCAAATGCAGATGTATTGCCACTTTCCAAAATAAACATTCTGGGGGCCATAAAGAATCTCAAAACATTTTTTTTTTCCCTAATGGAACTGGGAATTGAACCCAAGACCTCATGCATGCTAGCCAACTGCCGTTTCCCCACCTTTTTGGAAACAAGTCTCACTAAGTTTCCTAGCCGCCCCCCCCCCCCGCCCCGCCCCAGTAGCTGAGATTATAGTCATGCACCTCCACCATCAGGTCAACAACTTTTTAGGGAACTGAAATCATGTACAATATGTTCCTTAACCACTGTGAACTTAAATTTAAACATAAATAATGTAAAGATATTAGATCTCCAAATGTTTGAAGATTAAGCAACATACTTCTAAATAACCTGAAGATCTAAGTAGAAAATATTTTAAACTAACTGATAATAAAATATATCCAAACATGTATCATGCAACTAAAGCAGTGTGTAGAGGACAATCATTAGATAAAGAAAAGAAGCACAAATTAAAACCATAAAGTAGGATAAAGAAAAATAATAATATTGATCCTTTTGAAGTGGGACAGAAAAGGCTGGATACCCAAGGAATTATCAAGAAGCAGGTTAATAAACTGCAGGGTCCAGAGAGTCTGTTGGATAGCCTAAAACATTCTCTGGACAATGACTAGAATTTCTTTGAACTTAATATCCAGTGTGGGGTGGGGGCGGTGAGGGGGGAGTTGGAGATTTACATGCAGAGGAGTCAACATCAAAGTTCTCATAAAGTGCTTTTTGTTTCATTTCTTATGACAGAGGTTCACAACCAAAATTAGCTTTTGCAAGACAGAGTAGAGCAACAGAAAATAGGGTGGGAAGTATCCCTTCTTTCTCATATTCAAGGATTAGTTAAGTATTGGCTTTTGTACCATAGCTTAGTTTCAGCTTGGTTGTTTTTGTCAGTTTTTGAGCCCATTGAGCCCTTCTGCAGAAATCTTTCTTGACTGATATTTTATTAACAAGAAAAATTGTGGTGAGGGTCTCTGAAGAAGCTTAATTAAGATGCATTGGTAGAGGAGGGGGTGCCACCACATTTTCAGTTAATAAACATGATATTGGGTATTCATGCTGTGTGTGCGATGTGTCTCCCTCTAAACCTTCTGGGCACATTGCTTGTCTGATATGGAAAAAATAATAATGACAAAAATCGATGAAAGGGCTGGGGCTGTGGCTCAGTGGCAGAGCATTTGCCTAGCACATGTGAGGCTCTGGGCTTGATCCTTAGCACCACATAAAAAAGGAAAAAAGATCACTTCTTACCAGGCATGATGGTGTACACCTGTAATCCCAGCGGCTTGGAAGGCTGAAGCAGGAGGATCACATGTTCAAGATCAGTCTCTGCAACTTAGCAAGACTCTGTCTCAAAAAATAAAAAAGGCTAGGGATGTAGCTCAGTGATAAAGTGCCCCTGGGTTCAATCAATTTCCATTCATCATAAGAATTTCTTATAAATACAAACCCCAAGCTGGGAAAACATAGTTATGATATGTGTGTGTTATATATATATGTGTGTGTGTGTGTGTGTGTGTGTGTGTGTATAAATATATATATATACAGATGAAAGTTCATATTTAGAATACATAATACAGTTCTAAAATAAATTTAAAAAACAAATAAAAATTAGTAAAAATTTTTGTTTGTGTTTTTGTTTTGTACTGGGAATTGAAAAGTTTTTGTTTTTGTTTTTGTACTGGGAATTGAACCCAGGGTTGCATAACCACTGAGCCACATCCCCAGCCCATTTGGTATTTTATTTAGAGACAGAGTCTCACTGAGTTGCTTAAGGCCTCACTAAATTGCTGAGGTTGGCCTTGAATTCATGATCCTCCTTCCTCAGCCTCTCAAGCTGCTGGGATTACAGACATGCACCACTGTACCCATTTTAGTAAGATTTTAAAGGCACAAAGCAAAAGAGGATTGCTTTGTGCAATAAATGACCAATAAGCATATGAAAAAATTCTTATTAACCACTAGGAAAGTACAAATTAAAAAATCACTGGTTATCATTGCATTCCCATTAGAAAAATTAAAATTGAGACTAACCCCAGGAATATAGGAGGAATATGAAGCAAATTAAACTCTTCACTCATTGCTTGTGTGTGGGAAGCCAACCTTACACGTGACTGAGTTACACTCCCCGGCTGGGTGCTAAGGCGCTCAGTGCAAAAATGTGGCACCCTTCTTGGGTGCGAGGGTCAGTGTCTCGTGCATGGATGTGTCTTGCTACAGCCCATGGGTGAAGCTATGCTCACCTGTTCCTTTGTAATATAACCCCTTGCCCTGTTTAGGATAGAATCTTCCATGGAAGTGCCTTGTATGTATCCCCTTCTCTTACTGTGCCCTTGGCTGTGGCCAACCCAGGTGTCAGTCAACCTGCTGACAGTGGACATCATGAAGATACTCAGCCCCCTAAAACCTGACCCCTTGCCTCATTTGAATAGCTTCTCCTCAATAAAAGGGGTCAGCGCGTGCTCTCTCTCTCTCTCTTTCTGTGGACCCTTAAGGTCAGAGAAGCTGTCACAGTGACCCCAAAGAAAAAGATATTTGTGTCTCTTATGTGGTTATTTCATGCAGCCCAGTTAGCCCAGTTTAACTGGAATGACCCCTGAGCCTTTTAGTCGCGAGAACAGAAACCCGGCACTTATGGGAGTGTAAACTGTTAAGAATACTTAGGAAAAAAAAAATTAGGAGTTTCTTGTGAAGTTAGACATCTATTCTATGATCCAGCAATTTCATTCCTGGGTATTTACTGAAGAGAAATAAAAGGAATGTGTGTACAACAAAAGACTTATAACAAAAAGGTTCATAGCACTGTAATTGTTGTTGTCTTTATTGCACTGTTGGGGATGGAGCCCAGGGCCTCACACACCTTAGGCAATTGCTCTACCACTGAGACACACCCACAGCTCAGCTTTATTCTTCTGTGTGTGTGTGTGGTGGGGCATGTAATGGGAATTGAACCCCGGGGTGCTTAACCACTGAGTCACATCCCTAGCCATTTTTATTTTTATTTTTTTAATTTTTGAGACTGTATCTCACTAAGTTTCCCAAGCTGGCCTTGAACTTACAATCCTCCTGCCTCAACCTCCCAAGTCACCAGGATTACAGGTGTGCACCACTTTGCCACGCCTTCCTTTACATTTTTGAACATAGATATAATAGCTGATATTAAATCCTTGTCTGTCAATTCTAACATCTGGGACCTCTTCCCATTATTGATTTCTCTCTTGAGTATGGACTACATTTTCCTGCTCCTGCTCTCCTTCCTCCTCCTGTTTCCTTTTCCTCCTCCTCTCCTGTTCCTCATCCTCCTCCTTCTTCACAGAGCTGGGGATTTAACTCAGGGCTTCATGTTTGCTAGGCAAGCACTCTACCACTACACTATACACCCAGTCCCTTCCTATTTATTATAAGTTATATGTAAGTAATTTGGGGTTGTAACTTAGACACTGTGAAAAATACTTTGTAAAGACTCTGGATTTTATTAAGTTTCTCTGAAAATTATTGATTTGTTTTAGCAGACGATTAATCTGGCTCAACTGAAACTTCAAACTCTGGGTCCTCTCTGATGGGCAGCAAGTGAATTTCCAGTTCTTAGCTGAGCCATTTGAAGTCCACCTGTGCATGTGTGATTCAGGACTTGGATAAAAAATTGGGGGTGAGTTAAACCCAGTCTTTGTGGGAGATTGGGGGGGGGGCCCTCTGATTCATTCTTATCTTTGACTTCTCATCACTTTCTAGCTGCAATGGTTTCCTTGAAATCTACCCCCTGGTAGTCTCCAAGCCAGGAAGACTTTGTATTTCTTTCTGAGTTTTAGTGGCTCCATATGACATGAGCTGAGGCCCATTGGTCGTCATATTAAGCACTGGAAAAATGGGTAAATCACTAAATGTCTTTCCTTTTTCCAAGAATTTAAATGTATCCAGAGCCTACCTGCATTTGTTGCCTCTCCAAGGTTTTGGGCTACTACTTTTCATATTTCATCCTGGATTTATATTGTTAACTGAAAGAGAGTACATTATATCCTTTAGTCTCCCCAACAGCCCCATTTTTCAGATATGTTCTTGAATAGTAGGAATATAGAATTTTGTCCTATTGAGCATTTGGCATTGGTGAATTGGGATTTACCAGAACAGCCCTGGCTTATGGAAACATGAAAGGGCCTTGGATGAGGAATCTTTGATTCCTGAGTGGCCACTTGGTCACCTTTGGTGTGGAGAATTAGCTATATTAAGATCAGCTCTTAAAGGTACCAGTGGTATTTAGAGATGGCTCACTAGATGCACAAGGAAATATAGACTAATAAGAAAAAGGTAAAAGTGTCATCTGGTTATTTTTATCTCTGACAGCTAAAATGAAAAGACGGGTGACCTTGCTGCTAGACCAAACTTAGATGTCAGTGGAGTCTGAGCTGGGACCCCAAAGCTGTCTCCCCAGGGCAGTCAGTGTGCAAGGACAACAGAAACTACCCCTAAGATCTCTGGTTACTGAGACAGTAATCTGTGTGGCTGAAGGACAAAGGACAAAACCAAGCAACTACTGAAACCAGGGGTGTAGTGGGAAGGAGTTGCTTCATGTTGTAGATCAGTACCATCAGCTTTTTGAGAGCCTTCATTGAAGCGGAGTGTGAGGGTGACTGATTTAGGGGCAGTATCCTTGATTCAAATGCTGCAGAGTGGAAGAGCATGTTCCAGTTGATGCAGGACCTATAGTTCACCATGGAGCAATTGAGAAACTAATGTGACTCCATTTTTAAGAAACCAGCCTCTACCTCAGAGCAAAGCCTGTCCAAGGAAGGGGGCGTGACCCTTGTCCTTAGAAAAACCCACAGAGCACTCCTAAGCACATACCCACCCTGTTGAGTTGTTTGTCTGTAAATAACAGGAGAGGTCTGTGGCGCCAGGTGTCCCTGACTCAGTTAGGCTAGGTGAGGACCCATAGCAACCCCCCTAGCAACCTCCAATCAGCATGAGACAGGCAAAATACCTGGAATGCCAGATGACCCCCAAGTAGTTTATAGTGGTTGATAACATGTTGGGAAACCATGTAGTTTAGCACGTACACCCCTCATGGCCTAAACCAATCAGTTCAAACGAATCCCCCTATTGTACTAACCAATCATCCCTACCCAACTTGTTCCCGCCATTAAATGTGCTAATCAATATTAAGAGTTGTTGTTTGATTTTCCCGCGGTATGGAATGATTTGCTGTGTGATGTTGTGACGCATAGAGTATCCCTCCAAAACCTATAAAATCTCACTGAACAAAGGACCGGGACTCACTCCCTGGGACCGATGCGTCGGGATTGGTTGTGAGCCCAGGCTTGAGCTTGCAATAAAGACTCTTATGTGATTGCATCGGATTCGGCTGCTGGAGGTCTATTGGGGTCCCACGAATCTGGCATAACAGCAATCACAAGGGCTATGCATGATCCAGACACACGGGAGGGTATTCCAGGGGGAACAGCTAGCCTCGTGGACTAGATAAAAGTCACTGTAGGGCCTGTTTACCTTGAGAAGGGAACTGTCCCTCTCTTTCTCTAAATGACAAGTGGATCACCCTGGATGGAGCTGTTCATGTGGAACTGGTTTTCCAATCACCAGGATGTTCATCCCCTGAATATGCCTGTTACTCAGGTCAGGGAAGATTCTGTGGCTGACACTACCCCTTGAAACATGGATGGGCATGTAGCCTTGCTGCTGCAAACCCAAAGTACAGTTTGGAAAGCTTTATTGAATTTGCTATCTCAGCTTCCCTTTGGGGGTCTTATAATACAGATAGATTAGGTGAATTGAGATGAGAATGGGGGAAAAAATAAGAGGAGAGTCAAAGGGCAGGTTTTAACAGGGTGGAAATTGTTAAGAAATAAGGAAGATAAAGCAAATATTGACAGGTGTGAAACAAAGGAAAATAAAAAAGGCACATCTCCAGATTTGCATCTGCAGTGTGGAAACTTTTAGATGATCATGAAAAAATGGAATGAGTAAAAAAACAGACATTGATGGGGTTAAAAGAAAGGTTTTAATAAAGAAATACTAAAGGTTGTATGAGACTAAAGGACACCAGCTGATCCCTCAACAAAGTCTGCTTTTCATTCATCAGATTTCCCTTACTGTAACAAATACCTGAGATAAATCAACACAGAGATAAAAGATTTATTTTGGCTCACAGTTCTGGAGGCTTCCTTCTGTGGTCAGTTGGCCCATTGCTTTTGGGCCTGTAGAGGGGCAGCCCATAATGATGGAGCAAAGCTGCTCACCTCATAGCACCCAGAACAGACAGAGAGGAAGATGAAGAGGCTGGGTCCCAATATCCCTCTTGGGCATGCCCCCAATGACAAAGACTTCCTATGAGGCTCCATCTCTTAAAGGCTCCACCACCTCCCAAAACTGCCAAACAAGGACTAAGTCTTGAGCACATGAGCCCTCAGGGAACATTCCAGATCCAAACTGTAGCAGCTCTACTCACCCCAGCTTAGAGAAACCTTAAAAGGCAAAGTTGACAGTGAGAAACCTGACTAGCTCTCTGGGGCAGTAGTTAGGCAGGTTAATCAAGGTGTGGGTTGACAAAAGGACTAGAGTCCCTTGGCCCAGCCCCTCATGGGAATCCAAAGCCTTGTGTGCTGAAGTGGAAAAATGGTCAGGGGGTGCAGAGGAGAAGTCCCAGGACTCTTTAATATGGGAGCCCCAAGCACTGTGGAACCAAAACCCATCCATGAAACCCTGCCGTGAGAGAGCACAAAAGAGTTGATGGGATTATGGAAGGCTTTGGGCAGAGGAGTTCTGTTTTACCTGCATGTTTTAGGATAGACACTGTGTCTACCTGGCACACCCTTCCCCATCCAGTATTGTAAAACCTAAGCCTGCCAATAGAGTTGTAATGGGGGCTGCAGTTAGGAACACAGGAGGTGATGGGATTAAGTAAAAATGTGTGCGGAGAATTGGTATATTTGACCAGTCTTTATGTGGAATGGTTGTGTCTCTTTTACCTGATGGTACCATGGGGATGGACATTGTATCTGACTAGAGGATATTTCTCCTACCTAATGTTATAAAATGGAATGTATCCATACTGCACGGGACCTTAGACATCAACAATGAGAACATTACTGAGACATTTTCCCCTCACTTCCCACATACAATGCAGCAGAGACCAAATATCAAACTAACTTCCTTCTTTTTCTTCCCCTCTCTTTCTCCATCACTCTCTCTTTCTGTGGTACTGGGGATTGTGTGTGTGTGTGTGTGTGTATTGGCCCATATTAGGCAAGTATTCTACCACTGAGCTACAACCCCAGCCCTTATTAAATTTTATTTTGAGACAGGGTCTCCCTAAATTGCCTAGGCTGACCTCAAACTTGCAATCCTTCTGTCTCAGTCTCCCAAGTATCTGGGGTTACAGGTATGTGTCACTGTGCCTGGCACATATTTCCTATGGTGTCACAGGTCCCAGAGCATATGAGACATGGAAGGCCAAGAGAAAGAAAGAATGAGAAGGTAATCATGAGTAAGTCCAGATAGGGAAATATTTAAAAAAAATTTTTTTGCATTTAAAACTACTTATAAAACAATATTTCTATATCTTTCAGTATGACTTCAGTTTTTAGATGAAGTAATATTTTATATCATAGGACATAGACATGAAACGATCCCTTATCCCTGAAGGGGACAAAGGCAAAAAATATAAAGAAAATCAAGAATGACAATTTAATAAAACCACATTTGAGTCTGACATCTTTGACATTTTCCTCAGCAAATTCCTGAGAATCAGCTGATGTGCTAGAGATGGGTATATGGTAAAGACTATGACAGTTCTATCCCATCTAACTAATCATTCTATACACTGTGTGGAATACTGGCATGGAAATTATAAGGCAAATGAAGCTTGTGAATCATTTCCGTATTGTTTGTACCAAGCTATTAAGTCACAGATGAAAACAAGCCATGTTGGAGGAATGGAGACTTCTTAGCCTTGGGGAGTGCCTAACCCTTGGGAAGCAGAGGCTGTCAGGTCCCTCTCATACCCCTGGACCTCTCAGAATTCTCAGTTGGTTTGCTTCTCTGTGACTACAGCCTCTTCTCCTTGGAAATACAAGAAAAATTTCCTAGCAGATCACAGTAGCTAAGAATCCTCCCTCATCCCATCCTACGAGATAGACCCTCAACAAATGACTCTCAGAAACCAATGTCTCTGTACTCCGGCTCCTGTCCCTTGGATAGAGTATTTTTGAGGTGTGTGTTTTGTCCTATTCCCCAATAGTGGCTTTCCTGCAGGATCGGGCCCTGGAGCCCACCATGGTAGGTAACTCAATGATGCTTGTTTTATTGCTGGTCTTCCCTTCACTGGATCACTGAGCCTCTTCATACCAGTGATCCCTGCACCTCCAAAATAAACTACTGCACTGAAATCTTTGTTCAGTTTGCTTCTGGGGGAACCCAACTAAGACCTAAGACAACTCAAGTATGGAGTCTGTGCAACTCAGTCCTAAAGAGAATACCGGGGGAATAAATTCATGGTATAAGCCAGTATATTAATTCTTTTTTTGGGGGGTGGATATTGGTGTTTGAACTCAGAAGCACTTAATCACTGAGCCACATCCCCAGCCCTTTTTATATTTAGAGACAGGTCTTCTATAAGTTGCTTAGGACCTTGCTAAGTTGCTGAGGCTGGCTTTGAACTTACAATCATCCTGCCTCAGCCTAGTGAGCCGCTGGGATTAAAGGCATACACCATCATACCCGACAGTGTACTAATTCTTATTTTTCAAATTATCTTGTCTAAATGTATTTTATACTTGTAGTAGTGACATTAAAGGGGCTGGGGATTAGATGAAATGAATGTTTCTGGGTAAAGCCCAGAAGAAATCATTATTGAGCAAAAGAGACTTCTGAAGAACATTGTGGATTGTTCATATACAGGGATGAGAATCAAAATATTTAACAACTGATGTAGTCTGGGCTTCAACTAACCATCCTTAACCAAAGACAATTATGCTGCAGGTTGCCACCCCAGTCACCCCAGTCAACTATTGGTTCTTCCCTTTAAAACAGGGATTCCTGGTTCTGTCTGAGTCAGCCAGCTAGGTTAAGAGGTCATTGGGCAGAAAACGGTTTAGTTGGCTTTCTCTGTATGGCTCACAGGTAGGACTTCTTCTTGGAAAGAGATTGGACAAGCAGAACTATCCATTAAACTTCTCCAGATGGAGCTACCAGTCCAGCAGCGGCCAGTGGAGGGACTCTGTGAGCTTTACACTCCCACATATTATGGTGTCCTCTCCCGACATGTAAGTAAACATCACCAAGGTGATTCAATTTCCTTCCAGAGAATTGTCTCCTCTCCATCATAGGTAGTCTGGGCAAGACCAAAGAGCAAAGCAGCCAAAAGACAGGTGCTCAACTGAAAGAATCCACATCCCATCCCCACACCACACCCATGGGGCCTTGAATACAGAGCAGAGAGCTGAAAGGATGGTGGGGGGCGTCTTTGGAGTTCATCTGTGCAGTGAGGGTGCTGGTGGTTTCACCTGGTGGGATGCTATAAAGTATGCTTAACCGATTGCTCTCCAGTTCCTCCCACCACCCCTCTCTCTGTTTTAGTTCTGGGAGTCATCAGATAGCCTTCTAGTAATTTCCTTTTATTGCTTAAAAAATTTCAGAACTTTTTAAGCAATAAAAAATTGCTTTCTGTTTTGCATCCACGGGACCAAATTAATGCCAGTGCCAAATGTTTTTATCTTCAACCTTCTTTTGTAGGCAACAGACCCCTTAGAAAGAGTTTGTGACAATGACTGAATATAGAAGAAGCCAGTCCATGGACCTTCAGCAAACAAGAGAAGGAAACACAGGAGTTGGTGTGGGCCTGAAGGATATACACACATCGCTTGAAGGTCAGCATCACCTCCACCAGCTCTCAGCTACTTATGGAGGTAGAATTCTCTCCCCGGCTTCTCCATTGTCACATGGGTTGCCTGGCTTATGAACTAGGAGCTTCTCATGAGCAAAGCCCTTGCAATTTGGGAAGATGTTGAGAAAAGGACAAAGGCTCAGGTCAGGCTCACTTAACTTCCTGTTAGTAATTCTGGTAGATGGAGTACAGGTGGGTATTGAAGTCATGGGCTAAAATGAAGTCTTGTTAGAATGTGTAGATGTCAATGCCATAATATTCACGTTGGCTGCAAAGCAATTGTATGTATGTCTATGTACATTTCATGGGAGCTATATTGTGAACTGGGTAATTTTCTTTTGTCTTTACTTATTATTTGTGTGTGTGCATGTGGCGCTGGGGTTGAATCCAGAGCCTTGTGTATATTAGGCAAGGGCTCTATCACTGAACTACATCTCCAACCCTCTCATTCTTCTTCTTTTAATCCTTACTGTCATTAAGAAATTCAGAAATAAATTTTCTTTCATAATTTCAACCATGTTGTGTCAGGGTGAAGTACAACACATTCATATCAAACTTAAAGAGGGAGCATTTGATACCCAAGCAACATGGTTCATTTATAGGGCTTTGCCTAGAAGCCATGTCTTCTATAGAATTTAGCTCGGACAAGAAGATCATTGACGAGGTCAGTGTCTATGTCTGCAGGGGTGACAATGGTTTCGATTCCTGACTTAAAGGCAGAGAGACCACCTGAAATGAAAGAGAGAGGTTTAGACTCTATAATAACTGTAACAGAAATAAGATGCAAGCATTTCCAGGACATCCCAGCCCTCCAGGCAAATCTTCCAAAGCCTGTATGCCTGTATTCCCAACACTTGCTTCCCTTCCTCTCTTCCTGAAAGGATATGCTACCCTGAGAATCACTAAGAAGATTCTCTCTCTCTCTCTCTCTCTGTCTCTCTCTCTCTCTCTTTATGATTGTTGTTTTTCTTCCTATGTGAGTCAGATTTGAGTTTTATGTAGTCCTGAGCTGGCAGAAATAGATGACTGCAAATCTTCAGTTTGAGATTGTAACAATCTCTCATTTATTCAATAATTCACTCATATGTTCACCCACTAATTCATTCATTCAGCACATGTTTGTTTGTTTGTTTTGGTACTGGGGATTGAACCCACAGGCACTTAATCACTGAGTCACATCCCCAGCCCTTTATATTTTTTATTTAGAGACAGGGCCTCAATAAGTTGCTTAGGGCCTTGATAAGTTGCTGAGGCTGTCTTTGAACTTGTGATCCTCCTGCCTCAGCCTCCCAAATAATTCAGTACATGTTTTTGAGCACACTTGATGTGCCACACTGAGTGAAAGTTACCTGTATTCATTTCTTGTACAGGTTCATGAACTTGCATGTGCTATTTTACCCTAGAATTTTATCTTCAACAGTTACTTATGTATCTTAACATAATTGTGCTGTGCTCTGGTGTCAAGAGAAAAAAAATCCTGATCCTGATTTCTTCTTTCAATGCCCTTGAAAGAGAAAATAGAAAGTTGTTCTGAATTCAGACAAAGTGTAGAAGGAAAGAAGATTTACACATAACTCTGCATCTGCAGGAGGGAAACAGGAATTGGTGGACCAGGTGTGAAGAAAGAAGAAGCCAGTGAGCTAAGAAAACAATCTGTCTTTCTAGCTGGGATGTCTGGCTGTATTGTGGTATCTCCAAAGTCACAGAAAATGCAGAAGAAATAGGAGAGTAGTGAAGTCCATCTGCGAGATGCTGTACTCAAGGTGGGCCTCTGTTGAGCCATGCCTGAGATGACTGTGTGGACTTATCAGGGTACCTAAAGCCTCAGAATGCTCAGAGTCAGTTTATTCAAGCAATATGGAAAATGACTAATAACTTCTTGCATCAGGAGAAAGCCAAGGAAAAGAAGGTAAAGGCATTCTTTTGTGTTAACTTTTGCATTAACTCTCAAGGCATCACTCAGTGGCTCAATATAAAACAAGAGATGCAGTAAGAACCCGGATATCCTGAAGAAGGATAAAGGAAATTGGTGAAGGTGGACCACTCGTGGTTCAGAGAATGTACTGCATCTCTTCCACAGCTCCTCCCAGCCCCCTGCTGACCCAGTGGGAGTGCTCTTAGGGAGGTTCAGGGCCCATCTGACATCTCATAGTCTCATCCACTGCTCATTTCAACAAAGCACGAAAAATATTGCCTACCTTGCAGGTGTTGAGCAGCACTCCACTTGGGGAATTTTCTCTGGATGGCTTTAATTCTGTCTGTTAGAATACCAGCACCTTGCAAAAGGTGCTCTTTGCTGTCCCAGGAACCAACAGGGTGGTGGATTTGTTTATCGAGCTAGGAAATTCAGATAAGAATATCAGCATTTGGTCAAGGAAATACAATATTCTGCTGATCCTAATTTCTCTTCCGTGTGTTAAAATTCATAGATGCTGGCATTGACATCTTTCCCCCCAAAGTCAATTCTACTATATTGTCTTTCATAAGGAAAAGAGTCAGAAAAATAAAGATTTGGGAGAAGCAGACATGCACAGTGTTAGCTAGGCACTCTGATAAACAAAGAGAGGAGAAGGGGGACAAAAAAATGTTAAAACAACAACAACAAAAAAAAGGTTGGCACCAAAGTCTAGACATTTGTAGTTAAAAAAAATCCATCTAATTCGAATAAAAATTTGTTTCTAACTGGGAAGTCTAGAAATCTGTGTTTCTACAAACAATTTAAAACAGAGCCTGAAAGGCCAGGCCCAGTGATATACACCTGTGATTCCAGTGACTTGGGAGGCTGAGGCAGGAGAATTGCAAGTTTGAGGCCAGGCTCAGCAACTTAGTGAGGTCCTAAGCAATGTAGCAAGATCCTGACTCAAAATAAAAAACATAAAAAGGGCTGGAAATGTAGCTTAGTGGTAGAGCACCTTGAGGTTAATTAACTACTAAATTAATTTTGCAGCCCTGGGGCTACAAATTAATTCCCAGGGCTGCAAAATTAATTCAGTAGTTAATTCAATCATTCATTAAGAGCCAAAGGACTGAGGATATAGCTCAGTTGTAGAGAGCTTGCCTAGCATGCATGAGACCCTGGTTTCAAACCCCAATATCATGAGGGAAAAATAAATAAAATACAGCTTCAACTCAGATAGGCTGATAATTTGAATCCCCTTCCTCCAATTTACCTGGAAGAAAATGTTGGTTCAAGTAATTATATAGTGTTTTTATTTTCATGGATGAAATTTAAAAATTTAAGAATTCCAAGAAGACACCTGTAATAATGAGTGCCCTTTCACGATTGAAGTAGATTGTATATTATTTACTGCGGAACTGTAGTTATGATACATATAAAATACTACTGAATTAATTTTCTTATTCAAAAAAATATTGAATAACTGATAATAACCCTTGGATGAAATACCAAAGATGTGTTACAGAAAGTCAGAGCAAGCCACGCTGAAGCACTTGTGGAGAAACACTGCAGAGCCTGGGGGCCCAGAAGCATGCAAAGGGATTTCAGTTGGGTTGAGCTTCTGCAAGGAAGGACCAAGAGGCTGGTGGAAAGTCTCCAGCTAAATACCTGCATCAGGCCAAATTTAAGTCCCCGGTGGTCCCAGCCTTTTTGCAGAACAGTGCCACCGTGGCTTTCTCGGGAGATGATGGCTGCGATGATAGCAGGGTCAATGCAGTACCTCTGCCCCACTTCCTTGATCAGCGTCTGATAAGGCTTTATGGCCTTCAAGTCCATCTCAGCAAACATTTCAGAGCCACGGATCCCTAAACCAATAGAAAAGAAAGTGTTTGCTCCAGAAGCAGACTGTTCCCAATGCATACTAATTTAGCCACAGCCCCTGTGCTGCCCACAGCTGGGAACAACCATTTCTATGATGTCCTTTTGACACTGGACGGCAAAAACCCTGACATATCCACAGCCCCTGACAGGGGCCACTTCTGCTGTTTCTCTTTCTCCTTTCAGCCATGTGGGTGCCTTGAGAAGATGCCTGGTCTAGCAGTTGGCCAGTCTAGACTGAATCTTGTTCAGCTACCCCACCACCTAGTGTGTGCTAGGGGAAGTCCCTCCTCCTTACTGACCTCAGCACTGGGATCTGTAAATTAAAGATGAGGGATTCCAAGCCATCTTGTAGTTCCTTCCATATCTAAACCTCTAATACTGGGATAACATCACAAGGGAGATTTTGAAACAGGATTACAAAGGGAAGGAAGTACAAAGAGCAAGAGCCTTGCTTCAAAATGCTCATTATAAGCTGGGTGCGGTCATGGGCCCTAGTCCCAGCTACTTGCAAGGTTCAGGCAGGAGAATCTCCTGAGCCCAGGAGTTCAAGACCAGCCTGGGGAATATAGCAAGACCTTGTCTCTTTAAAAAAAGCAACCCCCCCAAAACAAACAAACAAAACCAAAAAACCTTTATTCTTCATGTGCTTAAGTGCAGTAAGCCTAACAAGAAAATGAGGCCAGAAAAACTAATGTGTAATTCAAGGAGTAGTCTCAACATGTAGAAATACACACATCTGGACAAGATTGGAAAAGGTCGGGTGGTGAGGTAGAAAAGGTTTGTTAGGTTGGGCAGGAGTCTATTCTTATTTAACTTTAAATTTTTTGATATGATTGTTATAATGACAATGATACCTTTTAGAAATTAAGTTAACTTCCAGAAGGAATCTGGAAATGATGAAAGGGAGAAGGCCAAACGCTTGCTTTGTCATTCACTTACCGCAGTTAATCAAATTGTCTATGTCACAGGGGGCCCCGGAAGCCTCCATGGTCATAATGTCCCCATAGCAGCCGTGGTACAGACGAGGATGCAGGTGACTGTCCATGGAATGAGTGAACGGGTAGGAAGCCCTGGAAGTGCCTGGGAAGCAAAATGATAATGCATGAAAAACCTGTGAGAAGGTGTTGCTTGAGCTGCTATTAAAACACAAATCCCTGCTAAACCAAAGGCAAAGGCCATAGACTTAGTCTTCAAGTCCTGTTTATCATTTTCAACACATCAGACAAAACAGAAGTGCCCTCTTCCCACTCTGCTCCAACCTTTTGACTCTGTTTTTAACTACAGTACTTTAGTTCTAAAACACCACACAAAGTATTATGAAAATTAAATTGTATGGGTCTCAAATATATTTGTTGCAGCTTGACCAGATTAAAACAGCCATCAATTTTATTTTCCTGTGCTGGAGATCAAATCCAGGCTTCCCATATACTAAGCATGCTCTTTACCACTGAGCTACACCCCCAGGCAACTATGAGAGTTTCAAGCAGGAACTTTGGGGAATATTTTTAAACACTTTTGACAGTATTTATGAGGATGTAAACATTTCAATGAACAATTTGTCTTTGTTTACAAAAATAAGAAAGAAAGATACTATAACAAGTTAAACATATTTTGTGTCTTACTGGTATGAAGATGAGGTTCTGAATCTATTTAAAAGAATTAGAAATAAAAATTTAACTTACCAAATAAACTAATTCTTTTTTTTTTACTCTGTTATTATGGCATGAATGGTTTCATTCAGGTCTATTTATTAAAAGAGATATTTTCTGTAATATTGAAAAGTTCGTTCTCATAATTCCAAAAATTGTTGCTTTGTAATTTAAGATTATAATTCTCTGCTATAAGAATCTACGTCATTAAAATATTTGATATAAGACACTATATTGGGGCTAGGAGTGTAGCTCAGTGGTAAAGCACTTGCCTAGCATGTGTGAGGTCCTGGATTTTATCTCCAGCACTTCAGGGAAAAAAATATATGTTGTATCACTTAATTATACAAACAATTTTTGTTGTTGTTGGGTTGTTTTGCTTAAAGTACTGGGGATTGAACCCAGGGGCACTTTATCACTGAGCTACATCCTCAATAATTTTTTAATTTTTATTTTGAGACAGGGTCTCACTAAATTGCCCATGCTGGCCTTTAACTTTCAATCCTCCTGCCTCAGCCTCCCAAGTTGTTAGGATTATCAACAGTGTTTTTTAATAGAGAGATGGATTTGACCAGGTACAATTCTGATTAACATAACAGTATAAAGAAATTGTATACTTTCTTAGAATTAAGCATACGATGAATAGAACTGTTATAATATTTATTTTATAAGGGAAACAGAGTAACTATAAAGATGAACTTTTTAAAAGCATGCAAAAGCAAAACTCAACCAAAACAAATAAAAATCCAGGTACAGCTCACTGCCATCCATCATCAGGCAAACAAGGAAGTGGGAATAGACCAGAAAGTTAGATGACAAAACTCTCAAATAATCTTAGGATACTGAGGAAGTCTATCCAGATAATAAAAGTGGTAGGAACAGCAAAGCCACTACACTCTCTAAGAAGTGTGGATTTCCATGTGATCCACAGAGGAGAGGCTGTCAGATCGGCCCCTCCAAGGCCTCCAGTGCAATGCCTGGTGCTCACAGTGCACACTGGAGACACAGCTGCTGCTTCATCCCCAGGCCCTGCATCTGGGGATTCATCCAGCTGTGGGAAAAAATTGCACCTGTACTGTACATTTAAAATTTTATCGTCATTATTTCCCAAATAACACAGAAATAGGACTGGAAAAGTAACTCAGTGGTAGAGCACTTAGGCCTTGAGTTCAATCCCCAGTACTGCCCAAACAAATAAATAAATAAAATAAAAAATGTAAAAACCCTCTGATACCATATAACTACTTCATAGTATTTGCATTTCATTAGATATAAGTCATTTAGAAATGGTTTAAAGTTCAAGGGAGAATGTTCATAGGTTCTATGCAAATACTATACTGTTTTATATTAGGGTCTTGAGCATCCTCAGATTTTGGTACTCCATAGGAGTCCCAGAACCAGCTCCCCCAGATACAGAGGGACAACCACATATTTGAGCTAATGAATGACATATTCCCAAAACAGAGACCATATGTAAAATTGAGGTGTGCAGGTGGGAAGTGAGACTGTAGATGGAAAACATCTATCCAGAAGTTGACTCCTCTTTCCCCCTCTGCTACCACCATGGTCCAAACCAGCATCATTGCCCATCAGGATTTTTCCAACAGCATCCTGACCTACCTCCCTGCTCTACTCTGGCTAACAGTTCTCCACCCAGGAGCCAGGTGATCCTGGGGACATGTATGGGATCTCTCAGTTGTCCCTCAGAGGAATGGCCAAGTCTTCATTGTGTCCTCCACGCTCCACCTGATCTGACCCTCTATTCCTTTTCCAACTTCTCCTTCCCTTCCCTCACTCACATTCTTCTCTGTGCTTATCCTTCAACACACGAGGCAGGTTTCTGCCTGGAGCCCTTGCCCTGGAGTTTCCTTTGGCCTAGAATGCTGTTCCTCCAGGTATCAACATGATTTGCTGCCTGACTATCTTTAGCTGTTTAAATATCACATTATCAGCAGCAGATATAGAAATTTCATAGACAAAAATTGAAAACAGTCCTTAAACATAAAAAGATGCTTAATCAGGCTGGGGTTGTAGCTCAGTGGTAGAGCACTTGCCTAGCATGTGTGAGACACTGGGTTTGAATCTCAGCCCCACATATGAATACATAAAGTCCATTGACAAAAAGTATTTTTAAAAAAAGTTCCTCAATCACACTCAAACAAAGAGAGAGCCATATTAAAACATAACTAAGGTGGCATTTTAAGCTCTTTGATTGTCAAGAAACCAAAATTTTGCCAAGTTCTTTCTATGAGACTGTGAGGATATTGGGAATGTATTAGTCAGCTTTCTGACACTATAACAAAATGGGCTCCTTGTATCAGATTAACTGAGCCAGAATCGTTAAGTTTGAGGCCAAAGAATCTATAATTTAACCAGATTCCCATTTGCCTTTTATGCATAAAGCTTGAGAACCACTGCATTAAGAGAATTCGAATATGACCAATTTATATGTGGTTTAAGACCCTCTCTTTAAACCATTGGCCTAATTAAGCCTGATTATAATAGTACTTTGGGTTTAGGTGGCCCCCCATGGATGCTATACTATTTGTGCTGACATTTTTAAAAGGCCCTTTTAAAATTAGAATCACTTTTCAGTTGTATCCAGATAATATGGTAGTTCATAATTAATCCACTGGCTTTTTAACTTTGCTCCCACTTGGCAATTAGAAATGAATAAAAATGTAAAACTATGCTGCCCATTTTTGATCAACAGTAACTGGAAATTATTGTGTTGGGGGTAGTCCTGCCTTTCCGAATTTATAATTAAACATTTTAGAAATGCTTTCTTCTTAATCATTAGTCTTTAAATAAAGTTAATTTGTTCATTGCTTACAATGGATCTTTATTTTTCTGAGGCTAAAGTTTTGATCTTTTCTCATTCAAGGACGCTTACCATCTCATCAGCCTACCTTCTAGCTTTCCCCCAAGAAACATCCCCTGTTTTGATCACACTGACCTGCTTACTGTATGCCCAACAGTTTTTATGCATTTCTTCCTCTGCCCTTTACTGAACTCCCATCCAGCAGGCTCTTCCTTTAACATTAAACCACCAAGCCTGCTTCAACGGCCATGCCCTCTCTGGAACTTGCCTTTCAGGTCTGAACTTCCTAGCTGAGGGACCTTCCTCCCAATTTCCTCTCAGATGGTGGATTTCTCTCTCTCTCTCTCTCTCCCCCCCCTCCCTCTCTCCCCCCCCCTCTCCATTGCCTGGCATTGATAATTTTCCCTTCATATATCTTGCCTTCAAAGGCACTGTTGTATACAGCTAATAAGATTTCAAGCCTAGTAGGTGTACCATCAGGCAGGAAGTAAGTAGATTGATCAATATTTAAATTTTAAATTCCTACTGATACCTTCTTCACCTGCTTGGCAAGAAAAATACACTCCTAATTATGGAAACAAGCATCTGATTGATGGCCAAGGAGGCCAGGTGAGCTCACTCTACTATTACATGTAAGCATTGCTCTTTCTGGTTTATGACTATATTTGAGGTTTTCATGGACACCATGCAAACCCAGATAAATGTCAATCCATGACTTACCAATGAGGACTGTAAGTCCCAAAAACACAACAGAGGGTAGCATATCCTTATCCTTATCCTCCAGGACCTGTTCTGATTTGAAATAGAAACTGATTAGTTTTAAAATGTAAAGATGTCTTAAAAGAAGTTGCTCTGATTTAAAAAAAAAAAAAAAAAAAAAAAAAAGAGCCTGGAGTCATTTCTAATTCAGTATCCATTTTCCATTTCCAAGATAGCATTCTGACAGCCTCAATAGATGGTTCATTGGTTTATACTCTTTCCTAGTTCATTTGAATCCAGTTTCATATGGATACAAGCCTATACACATCTTCTACGTCACCCCTCACACACTTAAAAGAAAGTTGTTGTGCTGATTTTTCACAAATAGTCCCTTTTCTTGATTTCATTCCAAAGGCAAGTTTTACAAGATAAGAGAAAGCCAGCTTTACCTGGTTTGCAACCTCCAAGAGAAAACCTCCCTCTCTTTGAGAAGGTCTTTGGTAGCAGCAACCTGTAGGTCAAGATTTTTCGGAGCAATGCTCTTTGTCCTATAACACGGGTTTAACAATTGGAGAATCCATTAGTCAGTAGTTCACTGTGCCTCTGGCTTCAGCTGAGCAGACCTCAGTGTGGCTCCACTGGGAAGGAAGCTTTTAAACACAGCATGAAGACTCACCTGCCTCTTCTTACCTTCTCTGTACCAAGAGTTGGTAGAGAAGCTTTATATGTGGTTTAAGACCCTCTCTTTAAACCATTGGCCTAATTAGGCCTGATCATAATAGTACTTTAGGTTTAGTGGCCCCCTTTAATAAAAGAACTTCAAAATACTTATTAACCATTATTAATTAATTAATCTAATGAAGCCCTAGACTGTAGTGGAGGCATCTATTTGGTGGATTGTTTCTGGATATCTAAAATTGTGCTAGGTAAACAGCTTTTGAATTTGAGACTAAGAAGCAAATACTTAGCCTAAAAAAAAGATAAATAAACAGGAAATACCAGCCACTCTCATTGCTGGGTTGGTGGTTGGTTGAATTCCCCATTCCAATGTCACATGATATCATCCCACCATGTTACATGATTGTGATAGGTGAACTTAGGTCCTGGCACCAAGTCCACCTCTGTCCAACAGGTATGAGAATGTCACCTGCTCTGGAAGAGCAAGCAATACCAAGCCACTGAATAGCAGTGTGGTGATTGCAGTTGCCTAAACTTTCTAAGGAAGTGGGACAAAAAGATTTGGCCAAAGATGAAAATATTTTCAAGAATAGAATATCTTTCTTTTTGTTTTCAGTACTGGGGATGAAACCCAGGCCTCACACATGCTAGGCAAACATTCTACCACTGAGCTGTACCCCTAGTCCAAGAATAGGATGTCTTTCTTCATGCTTATGCCCCAAAGAAGAGATGAAGCTCATCAGGCAGCCCCAGGAACAGGAAATGGAAGGGGCATTCTTAACGAGGCAAAGCTCATTTCCCAGAGGGGAGGAAGTAGTCTGGACTGGATCCTTCTGCAAGAGTGAAAAGTTTCTAGCTGCACATAATCCTTCCGTCCACCCACCAGAAGATGGGAAGACAACAGCCCTGAGTCAAAACGATTTTCCACCTCCCTGGCCATGAATCAGCTCCTGGTAGACGACACCATTTTGAGACTGACTTTGGCATTATCTCACGATATTTACTTCTGCACGCCTTCCTGCTTAGGGAACAGCTCCTTCAAGCAGCCTTGAGCTTAGCATTCAGGGAAGGGGGCAAAGGTGTTCTGAGCCAATGATCGATCCTCTCAGGAAAATGACGTGAAGGGGCCTGCTCTACTGCCACTGTCAACCCTGGATTCAGGGCTTGCTCTTTGGTAAGGGGTTTTGCATGCATCTGGTTTCCTGGAGGCAGCCCTTAGAAACACATAGATTATTACTGGTGACAGTGGCACATTACATGTCACATTGATATCGTAGTCTGCTCCAGTGCAGGGTGAGCTGGACCCTTATCTGAGGCTTCTAGGCTAAGTGCAATGGGATATTTCAAGAAAGGAGGAAGAAGGAATAGACACAGAATTGAAAGTTAGGTAAAAATAGGTGGAGGCTGAAGTTGTCCCCAGGTGCTCCCGGAGAATAAGGGTTAATAAAACATTTAAAGCCGGACATGATAGCTCACAACTAGTCCCAGCACTCAGGAAGTTGAGGCAGGAGAATCAGGAGTTCCATACCAGCCTGGGCAACATAGCAAGATCCCATCTCAAAACAAAAACAAATTTAAAGTACTATTGAATGTTAAGCTTACTTTTTCTTTTTTTCATGCTTTTAGACTAGGTACTTCTAGAAATGAGGGTCTTAATAGCCAGATCCTCTGCAACTTAATCAACTGTTTTCCAAACTATAAGAAAACAAATGAATATTTATTTGAAACCCCTCAAATGTGCACATTACATTATTCAATCGTCCAATATCCCTGTGAGGTAGATATTGTTGTTTTAGAGTTGAGACTCAGTAAGTTAAGCATCTTTTCAAAGATGGCACAGTTAGTATATGGTAGAGCCAGAATTTGAAGCCACATCTATAATATTCCATCATGAGGAACCAGCACTACAGACCAATAACCTTGCAAAGCAATTATTGCAACAGGCCACATCAACCTGCTCATGAAACACCACCTGTGGTCTGAATAAATAACACCTGCTACAAATAATTACACCACTGTCTTTGAAGTATTTGAAGGTTCTGTTGCAACTTCTAAAATACAAATATCAGTTAACTAAATCCACTGTGCCTTTTTCTTGACTCATATTTTCTCCACCAATAATAATAATGTGGTTAATACTCATTGAACGTGTACACTGGGCAATACTAGTAAGGGGCATGGTTAGGTTTGTTGCACTCTGAAAGTCCCTTTTTTTCATTTTAAAATTTGTAATTCTTTTATTAGTATGCTTTGATTCTATAGCATTTTCTTTTTTCTTTCTTATTGGTGCATTATAGTTGCACATAATGGTGGGATTTGTTGTTACATATTCCTCCATGCATACAATATAACAATATAATTTGGTCAATATTACTTCCAAGCACTTCCCCCTCCCTCCTTCTACCCGCTGGTCTTTTCCTCCACTCTACTGATGTCCCTTCAATTTTCATGACCTGCCCCCAGCACACACACCTTTCTTTTCTTTTTCCTCTCTAGCTTCAACGTGTGAGAGAAAACACATGACCCTTGACCTTCTGACTTTGGCTTATTTCCCTTAACATAATGTTCTCAAGTTCTGTCCATTTTCCTGTAAATGACATGATTTCATTTTTTTTATGGCTGAGTTAAATTCCATTGTGTATATTTACCACATTTTCTTTATCCATTCATCCATTGATGGACACCTAAGCTGATTCCATAGTTTGGCTTCTTTGAATTGTGCTGCCATAAACATAGTTATGCAATGGATCACTGTAGCATGATCACTTGGATTTTTTAGTATAAATACCAAGGAGTGGTATAACTGGGTCATTTGGTGTTTCTATACCTAGTCATTTAAGGAAACTCCATACTGATTTTCATGGTAGTTATACTAATTTACAATCCCACTAAAAGTGTTCCTTTTCCCCCACATCCTCTCCAGCATTTCTCAATAGGGGTCCTATTGAGAAGGTTATTGTTTGTGCCTATATGCTGGAGTGTCAACCCTATGTTTCCTTCCAGGTCTTGCATAGCTTCTTGTCTTATTCCTATGTCTTTGATCCACTTCAGTTTATTTATTTATTTATTTTTGGTACCAGGATTTAACCCAAGGGCACTTAACCACTGAGCCACATCCCCAGCCCTTTATTTTTTATTTTGAGACAGGGCCTCACTAGGTTGCTTACAGACTTCTAAGTTGCTGAGGGTGGCTTTGAACCTGCAAGCCTCCTGAGCCACTGGGATTACAGGTATGTACCACCATGCCTGGCTTTAGAGTTGATTTTTGTGCAGGATGAGAGAGATGGATCTAGTCTCATTTTTCTACAAATGGATATCCAGTTTTCTCAGCACTGTTTGTTAAAGAGGTTGTCTTTTCTCTAATTGAAAGTCTACAACCCAGTGGATGGTGAAGTGTGAGTTCTATTATATATATATGAGGATCTTAGAACATTCTTGACATTTAAAAGAAATTCACTGAGTCCCCATCTCTTTCCAGGGATTCTGAGCATGACTGTGTATGTGAGTCATATTGACATTTTTCCAGAAGGGGCTTATGGTACCTGCCATAATCTCCATAGATCCCCAGGCTTCCCAAAATGAAAACACAATTGCATGCAAAAAATATCCTTACTATAGAAACAAAATTCCAACTAGCTATACAAAAATAACCCTGGTCTTCTGCCCCTTCCAAGACTCTTCAGCACAGCAATTCTCTGGTAGCTTCTTATGATTCCTGATACATTTGTGGTTCCTGACCTTAGAGGTCTATGGAAATCAGCTATGGAATCAGCATAGGTGTTCATCAATGGATGAATGGATAAAGAAAATGTAATATATACATAATGGAGTTTAACTCAGCCATAAAGAAAAATGAAATTATATCGTTTGCAGGAAAATGGATAGAACTTGAGAACATTATGTTAAGGGAAATAAGCCAAAATCAGAAGGTCAAGGGGCATGTGTTTTCTCTCGTATGTTGAAGCTAGAGAAGAAGTGTGAGGGGGCAGGTCATGAAAATTGAAGGGAGATCAGTAGATTATCTTGCATCCAGAAGAGAGAAGTCCAAATGGGAGGCTGAATAGAGAGGCTTAAATACAGGTTCAGTCTATGTTATGGTATTTGCCATTTTTTATAGGACCTTGGACTGCATTTCAGTTCTCACCAAAGTCATAAGTGCCAAATAAGTCATCTTGCATCTTAGGGTGTCTTTCCAAGTAAATTGTCTTCTCTATCTTGTAGCTGGCAAACAGTAGATGTCCTTTATCATAGGTAGGCCCAGAATTTGAATTGAAGACCTCTGTCCTCAACCATGTTCATCTTGACAAGGACAGAATAGGAGGAAGTGCTGCCTGATTGTTGGTCTCAGTGGATTTCCCTGTCATGCTACCTAGGTAGATAAGAACATTGCCAAAGAAAGTTCTTCATTATGCACAGTCAAGAGTAGCCTCAAATTTCCAAACCAATGGAAGTGACTGAGAAGTACATTGAATGGACAATTAGAGTTTTTTTTAAAGGAAGGAATTTTTTAAATACCTTTATTCTATTTATTCATTTGTATGTGGTGCTGAGGATCGAACCCAGGGCCTCACATGTGCTAGGCAAGCACTCTACCGCTGAGCTATTGCCCCAGTCCGGATAATTAGGGTTTTTTGGTCATAACTGCCAGGAGACTCTCAGGTCAGGTTCTGGTTGGTGTTGCTCCTAATTTGGGGTCACAGCTGGGGTAACCATCACTGGGCCTCATGTCTGTTACTGTGATGTTCAGGTCCAAGCCTCTAGTCAACAGCCTCTGTCAATTCCACAGAATTTTCTCTTTTTCCTTTTGCTTCCTCTCAGTCTCTTAACCTCCTGCCCTCTCTGAGGTTAATCCGATGACATAGTTGTATTGATGGATGACACAGAGTTAAATTAATGTCATTTTCAGGTACAATCTACAATGTTAACCAGGGGCTACATTGCCTGAAGTCTCATTTTTCTCCAAGTGAGAAATGAGTCAATCTGCCAGAGGACACAGAAGTCAGAGAAAAATGGCACACATCTCTACAAAAGGGCATTATTTTTATGATAAAACACAGGCACTTTAAAAATTCATACCCTTATCATGAAGAAGAATGTGAAGTCTGCATGGATATTTGAGATACAGCATCACATGCAAATAAAAGCTGTCTTCCAGCTCTCTCTTGGGGACAGTGCTCCCAACTTCCCAGAGTGGCCCTTCTGTGCCTCTGCCACTGGAAAGCTGCAGTGGAGAAGTCTGAGAGGCTCTGCCCTCATTTGGAGATGAGTGATGGTGGAAACTAAGGGACCATGTGTGTGCAAGGAAGTGGATTTTGGTGGGGATTCCATGAGGATCTCCTCAAATCACATCACAGAAAGAGCTACCCTGTGGCCTGAATCTGACTAGGTCAGCACCTTTGATGGTTAAGGAGTCCAGCACCTCCAGCTCTCTTGGTCTTCCTCCCTCTCCATCCCCAGGCACTGACGTATGGTGGTAGAGACTGGGTGGCAGCTGCCATGTTGCCATTTGTGCATCCCAGCCATGGCCCTCCTTTCTCAGGAAAAAAACTGTGGATGACGACCATGGTCAACTCATGTAACCTTTCTGAGCTTTAATTTTCCTCACCTGTAAAATGGAGATAATAATAATACCCCATGACTTTGTATCAAAGACAAAAATAAATTATATGTGTGAAAACATATTATAAACTACAGTGCTTCATAAACATGCTGGCTATTATCATGCTGGGTTACACTCAGGTCTGGATGGTTTAGCTTCTTGTTGATTTATGCATTTGTTAGTTTACTTATCCAAGGGCCCAGGAAATATAATTAAGTGTTGATTTATAGGACAGGAAGTAGGAGGCAAAGTCTCACTTCAGTCTTGAGGGAAATAGAGCAAGACAAGCAAGGGCTATTGCTAGGACTCTGCAGCCTGCCTGGTGGGACTGGAGAGGGACAGTACCAGGAAAATCACCCAAGTGACCATAGCCCACAAATTGTTGCTGGGGAGCAGCTTAGGAACCTGTGGAATGAAGGGGCTGCCAGAGAATGCACGGCAAGTGCACTTCAGTGCCAATGGCCAGAGGGAGGGTGGAAGGGGACTCCTTCTACCAGACTACACTAGAAAATTCCATTCAGTCCCAGAAAATTTCAACACCAAGTTTATACTTCTGAGCATGTTTCTTGTCTTAATTTATTATTATTATTATTATTATTATTATTATTATTATTATTATTAGTGTGTGTGTGTGTGTCTGTGTGTGTTGCTGGGGATTGAACCCAGGGCCTTGTGCAAAAGAGGCAAGCACTCTACCAACTAAGCTATACTCCCAGCCCCTTGTCTTAATTTTAATGTATTAAAATAAAGGTAAGATGCCATACCCCCTGCAGAAAACACTACCTGTTACTGGGCTTCCTATATTAATGTGTTTTTGTTTGTTTGTTTTTCTTTCTGAGACAGGAGCTCCCTAATGTTGCCCACCCTAACCTTATTCTCCTGGGCTCAAGCCATCTTCTTGCTTCAGCTTCTTGAATAGCTTGTTTTGCAGGTTTCACTCTTGTGCCCAGCTCCCAATGTCAAATATTTGATCAGCATTTCAGAGAAGAAGATTAAACAAAGAGTCAACAAACCCAAGAAAAAATAATTTTAAACATCATTAGATATCAGACAAATGCAAATTAAAATTACAAAAACATAATATTTCTAAAAAAAAAAAAAAGAAGATCAAATAGTAGCTCTATGTTGGTGAGAAGGTGTGGCAAGAACTCTCATACCTTCCTGGGTTGGAATGTAAAGTGGAATGAGTGCTATTGAGCAGTTTCTTATAAAGTTAAACTGTTGAGCAGTTTCTTATAAGGTTAAACATACATATACTCTATGGCTCAGGAATCACATTTCTGGGCATTTGCCCAAGAGAGATGGAAAACAAATGGTTCCCAAGAGACTAGTACTAGAATATCCAGAACAGGGGCTCAGGCTTCATCCCCAGCACTGAAAACAAACACAAAGTTCACAGCAGCTTTATTCATAAGAGCCCCCAAACTGGAAACTCTCCAAAAACCGTATAAGTGGAAGAATTTAGCAGCATAGCTATATAACAGAAGAATACACAGATTTTAAAATAAACAAATTAGGAAAGAACTTCACTTGACCTAGACTGGGTCAAGTGTTCACCTCTGGACCATTCACCGTGTCTAGGAAGAGATTTGTTTGAAAAGGGGATTCCTAGTGGTTTGGAAAGGAGAAGGAAGAAGTGTGGACTTAAATAAAATAAAATAAAATAAATGGGGCTGGGTATGTGGCTCAAGTGGTAGAGCGCTTGCCTGGCATGCAGGAGGCACTGGGTTCGATCCTCAGCACCACATAAAAATACATAAGTGAAATAAAGTTATTGTGTTCAACTACAACTAAAAATAAATATTTTTTTAAAAAGTTGCAGTTGGGGCAACTTCTGAAGAACTGGCCTCCAGGCCACTTTGTCATGGCTGACTGTGGGTATGTCTTGAACATATTCAAATGTTGTCAGGGATCAAATGCAGGAGTTCGAAAGCTTGGGAGTTGTCACGAGCGGTCTCTACAGACTCAGTCTGAGGCACAGTTAGATTCAACCAAATCTATTTTATTGATGCTCATCATACTTCAGACACACATCCTAATTCTATGTCCTGAATCTACACCCAAGGGTCCTAGACACTCACCTGTGATGTGTCTTATGTCCGGGTCGCTGGAACTTGATCCAGGCTGTAGGAGTCTGGCGCAGCCGGGACAAAAGCAATGGAGGATTCTGTCTTTCTATCCAGGGCCTGTTAGTCTCGCTGGGCCCCAGAAGGCTGGGCTTTTAAGTCCTAGTTCAGTTGTGCTTGCTGCTGATAACTGGGTGAGCTCTGGGGTCTACACCCATGTGTAGACTCTTACATCAGTATCTTAAGTCTATCTAAGATCTACAGCTCATCTAAGTTTTTCAGTTTACGTTATATCATGAACATAATGCTTATAGCCTTTATCTAACACACACACACTGATTAATATAATCTACAGTCATTAGTCCTATAATATTTTCTGGTACTCATATCAAGAGTAGAGATTGGACTCAGAAAAGAATAGGAATACCTCTCCCATTATAACAAGAAGAGAAGAAAAACTCTCATTGGGATGAAGTTCAATGTATGGAATTAATGGGAGAAAGCAGAATTCTCTAATAGTTCCTAGATCCTCTCTGAAATAGGACATCAAATCATGCACTGAGAGTAAAAACCATGTGGAATTAGAACATGGAGACAATGTGGAAATGCTGCTCTGGAGAACTGGAGGGAAAACTTTCAGAGAGACCACTGGGTCCAGCAATGGATGGAGATGGGGGTCCATAAGTGTTTAGAGGCATCCAAGTGCTTGGTTTTGATTCAGCCACCTGAGAATGCACAGGGAGAAAGTAGAGGGCTGGAAGGATCCAGGGCTCAGGTGCAGCTCTGCAGGTACTGTGGAGACACAGGAAGTCTGGCAAGTGAACCAGAGTGTTGGAAAGAAAATGGTGGAGGGAATGGAACGTGGAGTTGAAACTGGTAGGGAGTAAAGGAAGAAACTAGGAGCTAGTCAGAAACTAGTGGGTTTAAGTCTCAAGTTTAAGGCTTTGGAGGTGGAGTGGATCTGACATACTTTGGCCTCAGCTTATGTTGTGAAACCTCATCTCCATCTCTACCCACCACTACAATAGTAACCTGAAAGCTTCTACCTGCTTGTGACAGCAATTTGCCATACCTCAGCTCTCTCCCTGTTCCTATCTTTTGCAGCCCTTATTTCTAGAAGAACTTGATCTTCCAATGATCTCTCCCATTTGTTCTCCTTGGTAACATGAGCTAAATCACAGGAAGATGTACTGTTTGGGAGTGTCAGTGGAACAGTGTGCAGGCCCTGGCCATTCTGGGCTGTGTGTGCGAGGGCTCTGGTGATCTTTCATCAGGCCAGAGGACCTGACAGGGCACAGAGAGGAGGCCAGGGTAGGGACTGAGCTGGAGGCTGTTTAATAATAAGTTTTCCTGTTTTCAACAGGAAACTGTTTATGATGCATTGTTAAGCTCTTTACTTAAGCAGGTTATTAAGTGATATTAATGAATATTTCCAATTTTTAAGTATGTAGATGTACAGGCATGGGAAGTAGTGGGAATTGCATCTTTTCACTGATTTATACAATTGTTTTTCACAGTGGCTATACCACATTGATGCTCAAGAACAGAGCAGGGTTATCCTCGTGCTCCACATCTCCACCAAGATTTGCTGTTAATTTTAGAAGTGAAATTTGATGTTCCTCATTGAAGTTGGGCTTCTTTTCATATATGCTTACTGGCCATTCCAGTTACGCCTTCTCTGAACTGTCTGTTTATGTCTTGCAATCACTTTTCTCTGAGCTGATTGCCTTTTTCTCACCTTTAAACATAAGAGTTCTAATATATTGAAGTCTGGATCCTAGTGTTTTGTTTATCACCTGCTAAAAAAGAAAAGGACGGGAGGGAGGGATGAAGGAAGAAAAGGAAAGGAAAATAAAGATTAAAAAAAGGAATTTTGCAACCCAAAATCAAAATGCTAAGCAAATATGAGGATCTAATCAGCACTTTTCAGTAATTTTCAAGTGTCCTCCAAGGAACTTTAATTGACTTACTCATGGTCAGAAAGAACTACTGTTTTAAAATTCTCTAAGATCTTAAAGAATCCTGCATTTTCTCTAAAGTTCTGCCAAGTCGGACCCCACGGGTGATTGCTGTGAGGGGCTTCCCAGGCCTCCAGGGTGCTATGAGAACTGCAAGGCCATTTTCCAGAGTTCCACTGCTCGGAGACTGGGTAGTAGATGTTCAGAAGTCAATCACAATTGTTCATACTTCTCAAGGTGAAATTGAGGGTTGAAGGGATAGACTCTGAGTTTCAGTTTCGGTGGGCATAGCAACAGAAAGCTCTGGAAAATGTTGACCTCCTTGACGGCCCAGTCCAGAGACAACAATGGAGAGAAGACATCTCATGATTCACAGCTGGTAACACTCACCCTCCAGATGTGACCCACACTCAACAGGTGTTCCTGAAGCTGGCTAGGGGTAAGAATGTCTCAGACATGTTTCCAGCCTCTGCCAGTCCTTAAGGACTCTGGGTCTAGAAAGCAAATTGTTCAAGACAGAAGGAAATGGCCCTGTGGCAATTACACCCTGAAAACAACAGAGGGCAGCACTGTGCTCCCCTTCACCTCTGAAAGGTGTCAGCCCACCAAGATGCTGGCATAGGCCAGTGAGTAGCTTATCAAAGCATTCCCTGACAGCTCCCTGAATTAATTAAATTTTCCAGATTCCAGAACATTCATCCAAAATATACTACAGGGTTGTAATTTGGCTATAAAAATATAATAAAAATAGGAGAGGAAAATGAGAGCTTCAAGCTTTCTTAATCTCTTGCAGAATTCTCTGTTACATAAGCTTGAATATAATATGTTCAATGCCAAATTATCTATAAGTTAATTACCCACTTTGAAAATTATAAACAACTCCCTATAGAACTGGACTGAGCCAGGACTGTACAGTAAGCAATTTTTATTTAACATTTTTATTTGTTCCATGCTTTGGAATTTTAAGTGGGCTTTTGAATAAGTTAAAATAATTGTAATTATTGTATTATTAAAATAATTTAATAATAATTAAAATAACCCTCTGAGAAAGGTCGAGCAGGTTGGATCTCCCCTGTTATGTTACCATTGGGATGTCCAGTTGAAGTCCAGGTCTCTGGTGTCCCTAACAAAGTATTAAGTGAGACATGAAGAAGTAACAAATAGAGTACAGATTTATTGAAGGTGAACGTAGCGTTCCATTAGGCAGAATGAAGTGAACAGAGAGAGAGAGAGAGAAACTCAAAGCCCCCATGTCTGGAAATTAGAGTCTTATATCCTGAAATGTGGGGCGTTCTCTTCCCTAAGTGGACCTGATTGAAGGCCTTACCCCATTTTTTCCCATTGGTTATCTCATGATACCTGATTAGAGGATTTTCCAATTTCCCCCATTGGTTACTTTAGAAAACCTAAACAGAGGGGGTATCCAAGATAGCTGGCCAGAGGGAGGCAGCAGTCTGTGTCCTGGGACTCAAGCAGTGAGAATACTGCTTCTCTGCGAGTGATATTCCTGCTCCCAAGCAGGAATCACGGCCACTGTGCCCGCCCAGGGGTCCAGGCCTCAGTGTCAGAGTAGGTCTCCCAACTACGTGCCCATGCAGTACTACAAGGTACCTGAGTGGGATCATCAGCATCTGAGCAGAACTTTTGGCCACCCACCCGAGCTGCTCCCTCACAGGACACCTGGCAGCTTCCCATGGGCAGGAACTCTGGCCACCACGCCTGTGTGGACCCCCATCTACCAACATGGGGCTCCTCCAGTCACTGCCATCTTGGGATTCTGCAGCAGCAAAAATAGTTCCCTAGGGCACAGTAGCCTGCCTGCACTTGGGAACTTCATACAGGCTCTGAAGTCAGCCAACAGCCACATACTGCACACCACAGAGCTTGTCTCTGAACTCATCATCCAACGCCATCACCTGGCTCCTCACACCCACCCAATACCCCATCACTGAAAGCAACCACCTCCATCTTGGGTCACCTTCATCACCATCTTCAGTGGGGGCAACACTCAGTTTAGAACTCCGGCTGGCCAGGTACCCAGTTTCTAACTCCCCACCCTCCCCCACAGCCACTAACTGGCACAGTGACTGCCCAACACAAAAACAGCTCTCAGTGGGGCATGTGCGCAGCCCACCAAAGCACCATGCTCAAGAACCCTGGAGAAAGGGTTAGGAAGTAGAAAGGGAGAGGGTGAGTGTGATACAGTTTAGAGACTAACAGAGACCAGGAATTGGGAGATCTTCAGGTGAGATAAGGAGATAAGACCAGGTGCTCACATCACACGAGTGGGCCCAAAAAGAGATCCCTGAGTCTCCCTTCTAGGATTGGTGGGTCCCACACCCCACTTCCAGGTGCCCTCCAACCAGGACCAACTCTTCCACCCTGGTTACCTTCACCATCCTGAGGGCAGAGATACTAGTTAACAACAGATGACCCCACCTATTGGATGAGAAGGGAAGCAGGAAAGATACTGATCTCCAACCAAAACAATCCCTGTTTCTTCCTTCAAGATTTTTTTTCTTCTCACTCTCTATTCTCTCACCATCACATCCCCAACATATGTGAAACCAAGTACTTTGCATGAATTAGGATTTTGAGGACTGGGACGTCTGAATAGTATATTACAGTTGTGTTGTATATTCTTTTTTTTTCCCCATCAATTTTTACTATTTTGACATTTTTTATTTTTCTTAATATATATGTTTGTTTTATGTACTCTACTATCTTCCCACTTACTTTTCTACCCCAAATTACTTCCTCTCTCTTCTACTGCTAATCTTCCTCTTTAGATTTCTATTTTGGACTTCTTAAGATACAATAACTCTTTATCCTCACTTCCTACCTTCTCAGCATATCATTCTACTCCTCACCCCTGTTCTTTGTCCACCATCAGAAACTGTAAACCTTTTTACAAACCTACTGAGTATATTGTAGATAATAATCAAATTCACCATTTCTGTACATTGTGACCAAACTGTAAATGTCTTAATAGCAAATATTTGTTTTTAGGGTTTATATTGTTTATATTGGGATCTGTTAACATTGTCCTTCATCTCAAAGGAGAGGTATTGGAACTCTACAGGGGCACTATAAGACTGTAGGGTAAAAATGGTAATGCCTTGGATCCACAGTGCTAGAAGGGAAGACACATAAGCAATATGAAAAGACAAAGAAAGAAAGTGCCCCAAACAAATCGAGATACCACAT